GGGCTGAATCGCCTCATACATTTCGTTCGGGAAGTGGGAAGGAGCGTCAAAGTCTTGCGCGCGGGCCGCAGCCGGGGGCCGAATCCAGGCGAAAACTGACAAGCCCCTCTGTGCTGGTAATTTGGCCACAGTTCTTCTTCTCCCGCCCGACTCGGGCGAAAGAGGGAGGGAGGGGAGGAACCGAGCGACCGGGCGATCTAATAAACATCCCCCTTCCCCCCTTCCCAGCGGACTTACGCCCTCAACCCCCCTCCTCACTTCATCCCCCCACCAGATGTTGTTCATCCTCATACCGCCCGGGGCTTCATCGTTTTAAATTTGGCGCGCGCGCGCTTGTTCGCTGGGCCGGCGGGCTTAAGTACTTATTTGTAAGGGAAGTGGCGAAGGGTAGCGCGCAAAAATGGGTACCGAGTACTGCAACGGGTACCTCCCCAGGCCAACCGGCTCAGAGCTTGAGACGGGGCGTCACTGCCACAAAAAATGTGAAGTATAGCCATAATAATCGCAGCTAAATTTATCTAATATATTATAAACTTCAACATTTATAGGTTAGATATCTGTGTCTAAAAAGCAAGGACAATCCTATTCTTGTTCTTAAACGAGTATAGGAAAATTTTCCTACACGTGCAAGGCCGCTACTCTTGAATTTCCAGAGAGTGCGATGCAAAAAGATACATAATATAAGTCGGCAGTCAGCATTGAAAACGACAACGTGAACGAGCTCAGAGGCGAGGCTTTCGAGGGTAAAAGGGTGGGGAGGCAAAATCGAGGCAGGCATATCCTTTGGGAGCGCGAAGGTCAGAGGCTCTGAACCACAGGGCGGGGCTGTGAGGGCAGCCATAACCTGCTCACGAGCCCCGCGCTGCTCCACGCAGAGAACTTGATACGGCAGGGGACTGTAAACTGAACCACGGCCTGCGCGCGCCCCCACCCCCAAGCAAGCACAACGGGGTGAGGGGGTGGAGCAAGAGGAGGAGCGCTCTTTCAAGTTGAGGCATCCCCCTCGCGCCGCTCACATTCATCCATTCAACATCGCTCATTCAATCACTCATTTGCCCATTCACCGACCCCCCCCCCCTCCACCCCCTCTCCCGACCTTTAGCGCCGCCTCTTATCGTTACGCCGACCGTGACGAGCGCCAAGGGGCGGCGTGGCGTGGCGTGACGAGGCTGTGACCACCGCGTATCATTTTTCACTCCGCCGACCCTCCGCGACACCATCCTGCACCGCAAAACCGCATCAGCAGGCCAGACTATGGGGGATTCCAAAAAGAAACATGCCTCATGTTCACATACTTTACAACGAAGGAATTGAAAAAAACTGGCCTGCCGGCCGGTAGAGAGACAGTCCAGCAAACTGAGGGTGAGAATAATTTACACATTTACCTACAATTTACAAATAACAAGTTACACATTTACTTACAATTTACAGATGATTACAATAATTTA